CACACACACACACACACACACACACACACACACACACACACACACACACAGAGTAGTGCTCCTGGTGTCGCGTGAAGATCTTGTGCTGGGATTATGGTACTCTATACTCTCCAGAGGCTAGATAGCAACGTGGGTTGGTCGTTTGGGATGAACAGAAGTGCCCGTGCTGTTTTTTTTGTTTTGTTTTGTTTTGTTTTGTTTTGTTTTGTTTTGTTTTGTTTTGTTTTTGTTTTGTTTTGTTTTGTTTTGTTTTGTTTTGTTTTGTTTTGTTTTGTTTTGTTTTGTTTTGTTTTGTTTTGTTTTTAAATGTGCTCCATCTATTGGTGGGGAGCTGCACAGAAGTGCCCGTGCTGTTGTGCTTCTGGGCCGACTCAGAGGCTCTCCAAGTCTTTTCGGACTATTGAAGGATCTGGTCGGTGCTTTCGGAGTAGGTGTTGCATGGCTTTGCTCTGTGTTGTGTGGAATGCCTTGTCTATGCTCAGCGGCTGCCTTGATGCCCTTCCTGCTTGCTTCTCATGTCGCTTCTGCAGCTGGTGTGTTGCTGTGTAGTTTGGCTGCCTTATTGTTGTTGCCTTGTGCTTCACTGCGCTGTTGCCTTGCTGTCCATCTGCATGCCATGTCTTCCTATGATTTTTGCTTTTGTGATGTGCGGTTTTGCGACTGCTGCAGCGTTGCTGTGTGCTTCGCTGTGGTGATGCTTTGCTGCCAGTCCGCCTGCAATTGGGTTGCCCCGGCAGCGTGGCCTGGTGCTTCGCTGAGTCGTTGCCTTCTGCTGTGTTCTGCTTGTGATGTTGCCTCCTGACAGTCTACTTTCAGCAAGGGTCAAAACATCAATATGGGGACTCTGCAGATTGTCGAGGGTTCGGCCTCCTGACGAGTCAGTGCAAGTCCTTTCTCATCATCAGGTTCTATTTTTTTCGCCATTTGCTTTTTGGCACTTTGAATTTCTTTGTCTGTGGGTTGTTGTCTTTTTCCTGCCTTGTGTGTTTGTTTGTTGCCTGCCCTCCTACCTTTCCCATCCCCACCAGCCTATGGGCATCGCCACACCACTCTCGAAATGTGCAAAATGAGAATGAACTTCCTGCTGGAACATGGCCAGATGCACCCACCACATTTTTGTCTTTTTCACATTTCGAGTGTGGTGTGGCGAGGCCCTATGTGTTCCCTCTCTGCGTTTGCCTTGTTGCGCTGTGCCTGGCTGTTTGTTGTCTGCTGTTTGTTGTCTTTTGGAATGGAGTCCTACCAGTCCAATAGCAATATCTCCTACTGTAACAATGGGCCTAGCTCAGTTGGTACACCCATGAACTGTTGAAATACAGACCCAAGTTCGAATCCAGATACAATCAGATCACCAGAATAAAATCATTCTGAATACTTGGGGCCGGTCAGTTTAATGATGATATCTCAAGGCCGTCGCCCTTCTTAAAAAAAAAAGAAAAAAAAGCAATATCTCCTATGAAACGGTTTTCACCTTTTAGCAGTAGCGGATGCAGTACCCAGGGTTCGATCCCTAGACCTCACCCTACCCATGTACAGTACCTGTGTAGATCCCGAGAATTGAACCTGTGACCTGTGTATTCGTAGGCAGTTGGTAGGCCTGTCGTAGGTCCATAGGTAGCAGGGGTTCGATCTGTAGGTCTATAGCGTAGGAGTCTGAGTTCCGGAAGCTTAGCTGTAGACCTTCTAGAAGGTGGGCAAGTGGGCAAGTGGGCAAGTGGTGAGGCAAGTGGTGGACTAAACCGCAGTGCAACAGCAGTACAACGTCGGTAGGATAGCGGTGAGTCCACAGTCAGTCAGCAGAAGGTCCAGTCAGTCCCAGTCCGGTCCAGCAAGTACCACAGGGGGACTGTGAGCACCAAGGGCCGATGGCAAAGG